AATCCAAACTCCAGACCAAATACAACACAAAGTCCCATCCAACACATAATGACACATCATTCACAAAATGATAATACATACGAACAAATTATAGAACAACCCCAAACCACTTTTCAGTCTCAAAATAATCATTTTTTTAGCCCACGATGAGCCGACAACTTGGATCCCTCCATCGCTCAAATTCCCACCCAGCCAACCTCCAAACTCAAATCCCAACAATCCCAGTTTTTGCTTTCCCACCACCCGATTTTCCGATTAATAATATATCATCAAGCACGAATTCTAATAATAACTCAGATATTTCAGTTTTACAATCTATCTCACAAATAATAACTCCACTGTAGAAACCCCCGATGAACTTGCAGACTCCGAACCATCTCCCTCTAATTATACCCAGACCAACTCCTCAGTTTTTTCAAATCCCCCTTTTCAACCAATCCCATCAAATCATCCACTCCCATCCATTTCCACTCCTTCTTATGCTTCCCAAGTGACCCCAACCTATTCTCCACTTCATTCCGACAGATCATATAAAAATTCCCTAGATACCCCCAAATTTCCCAGGAGCTCGATAATTTTATGACTTTACAAAAACAATTAATACACCCCAACACCCTCACAATACATCAATTATCATCCACAATTACATCCTCAAATCCACCTACTCCTACACCCTCCTCAGCTTACACTCCATCATTGGCACAATCATCCACATCCACCGAAACACCTACTAGCACTCATCGAGCTTATCGCACTTTTAAACGAAAATTTCCAAATCACCCATTCCCAGCCAAACCCGGAACAGCCCGCGAATATATTAATCACCCGGAACACACCAACACGGAAAATTTTCTTAAAATCATCTTACCCTGATTTCCGCAATATACATTAAATACACCTAATAATACTAATGACACACGCAATTTTGTAGATGAACAGGTTTTAATGCCAACACTTCCTTGGACAGCTTATTATAATTTTACTAACCCCCTTTGCCTACCACTAGCTAATACTTATGACAGCATAGAATAGAACAAAAACATGTTATATAGACTAACCACAACACTAACACCTTGACAATTTACTTAGGTTGGATATAAAAAATTACTAAAAACATTCAGTGCACCCCGAGCTAACGAATTTGCAATAGAAAACTACGATCATAATATCATCCGACATAATCAAGATCAATTCTTAGATGAAGACCCGCAATTAACAGAAAAATTTTTCATCAAAACATCATACGTATTCACACTTAATATTTTTGATAGAAAGCTTGACCACATTATTTCAGAATCACTAGCTGATATTCAAGCATACGAGAGCTTCTATGATAAATTTCAGTTTTTTTCACTAACCTTTCACTTTCTCTCACCACAGGAACGCGATTTGCACTGTTCCCACGATATTATGTTACGCACTAAACAAACGCACACATATACATACTATTGTTTTATACAAAATCATTTTGATTTGCACACCCCCATCAAGACAACCTCACCATTGTTTTCAGTTTCTTAACTCAGAGTACACGTCACCATTTTTCCTTAATTTTACATATTGCATTAAAGATACTAACCTTCGCGGCATCCTCCGCAACTATGACCCAGTTACCCAAATGTATATATTCTGTCCCATCACAAAAACCTTCAATGCCGAAGAATCCAGACCCTTCCTTATCCCGCATGAATTTATCCAGCCTATTGAAATACCAATATTAGAATTCATTCACAATACTAAATATAATCATAAAATATATAACCTCATCCAAAACACACCTTACGAGTTTGCAGTAGGCACCGAAGAACTAAACACCATTAAAGCACTTCGATTGCTTTGGCCACTGCTACAAACTAAAAACATCATACGCATTCTAGCCAAATTACTAACAACATCAGATATGATTCAAGACATCTTCCCCCAGGGCTTTTTCCCAGAAGATTAGGGTAAGTAAAATTTAAAATACTTCTAACTAATAAATTTAAATTAGTACTAACCATTTTCTATCAATGTTTGATTTATATTTCTAGTCTTCACACCACGATCATCTGCAAAACAGAAAAGAAAAATAAAAATACAAACAAGTTAAATTATCTTGAAACTTAATAATTTCTTGCACTAAATAATGTAGTAAAATTTATACAAAACGTAGTAATTTTATTTATAAATTTTTCCCCCTGAAGCAGTAAACTTAATTACGATGAAAATTTGTAATTTTAAATTTCCCCAAAACGCAGTAAAATTCAAATTCTATGCAATAAATTGATGAAATGAGAAAGCAGTACTAACCTTTTCAAAATTTTCATTCATTCGCTCAAGAATTCTATCCAAACTCGCACAGTTCGCCCACAAAGAATTGTTTAAATAATGATTTTAAGTTTCAAGCTTTCACTCTCAACAACTCTAACACACGATAACAAATTTCAATTTTTCCTTTAACCCGGTTGGAAAGAAATTATATACTAAACCAAACTAACCAACGCAGCTTACTAACCACCATAAACCACAAATTAACAGCATGACTAAGAAAAGAAAACCCACGGTACTCAAACCGGATTAACCCAGATTAAACTGGATAATTTACTCCCACACTACTTTCACAACATTGCACCTCAAATATACCCTCAGATTACATAGGTTCAACACCAACATCTGAACAAATACGTGAAAATCCCTTTAACCCCCCCCCCCAATCCCACCGCACGACTACCATATTGGGCGACACACTCATACACACAAAGTGAACCAAACTTAGTGAATGATCCAATAGATATTTCTACGGATACAACACTATCATCACTACCAGAAACATTATCACTACCGTCAACACCATCATTAAGTCAAATTTCACCGACGCTTTTCCCTTTAATATTTCCAAATAACCTCGACGCTAGATATCGAGAACAATCATCAACAAATATCCCTTTACGACTAGATTGGAATACATTCGTAGCACCCCCACCATTTTTTGGACAACATCAAGATAGTAACCGACTCCACAGTTGGGCACTCAATAGACTACAATATAGACAAGATATCCACGAAGATATTCATGAACATAATATTCAAATACTTCCACAAAATAGTCCCTAATTAAAATTTGAAATCACAATCAAACTTAACAATATTGTTCAACATCCCTACCCATTAAATCCACCAAATATAACAGCTCAATCGCTACCACCACCATTTTTAACAACTGAAGTAACATATAAATACGATAGATAAACAGAACCACAAGCTATAGAAACTACAAATGTAATAGCAACATTGTATTCAAAAGCCCGAGCAGCCACAGTCACAGGATATAAATTTACAGCAACATTCTCCGAAAAGAAAGTACACTGTTCACAAATTTCCAATGGAAATAAGAACCGACTTGATCACCGAATTTGATTTTTGAAAAAAGGACACAACCAAAGTAACATAAGAAAGATCAACATAAACCCAACATAAAACGTTATCACATAACAGGACCTCTCAAAGAAAGAGCATGAAATCATACTCCCACTCCTGGCCTAACCCACCAGAGAGGACGTCCTGAGCAGGATCTATAGCCGGCCTAACCTTCCGCGCTACATCCACGCTTTGTGACCACACTCCTATTTTTAATAAGAGGTACTCAAGGGTAAGTAACTCTTCAAAATAACCAAACTAAAACAAAACGCTTTTGTGAAAACAAGTAACTAAATTCATGATTAAAAAACCAAATTAACATAATTTTATAAAATGTAAATCATACTTTGCAGTATATAGATCATACACAACAACAAAGACGAACATCCAAAGACTAGATGATCCCATCACACTCGAACAAAAGAATGGCTAAACACAACCGACATGCCGTTCACAATCACAACTCAAAGGATTTAGAGTACGACTTGACTTCGCAGAAAAGGACTTCTTTGAACTAGAACAATGACCACCTCGATGTTCAAGTATACGTACAGATCCAAGTTACAAGGCATCCCTTCCACACACGATCTTCACGCCATTCCCAGACGAGGCTGCACACAAAACAATTCTCTAATAATTCAGAAAAACCTGACATAGCAAACCATTTTGAAATCGATTGATTTCATTGGGGATCACAGTCGTTGTCGAATGACGACGTAACAATTTCCTATCCATAATTCCAGCGTCCTGGAACGTTCTTCTTCAAGAGGAACCGGATAAGAAAATGATGTTCGTCAAATACCAACGTTCATCATCCATCCTTCAAATTGCAGAGAAGAAAGATAGTTCTATAAAACTCTGTAAACCCCGGATGGGTGGAACCTGACCTAAACTACATTTTATTATTGGATAAATTAGATATTTTACCACTGTAAATTTTTCAATAATAACCAATCATAATCCACCCAACTAACAACCCACTTATTTGTAAGTGCTGAAATTGTTTGTAATTTCAGCACCAGAGAGATTTGAATATAACTTAGAAATTAGTTGCCTTTCCAAGAGAACTTCAGCAGTTGCAATAAGCCAGTATACTCTAGATCTATTGAGCCTAGCAGAGACTAGTTAAACACCCTGAGACTAGTAGATATAAGAGTAAGATTAGGATCGGTATTAGACTAAGAAGTTGCACGAATCTATCCGGCCGAAAATAAGATCTATTTATGAGTTAACCACATCGGTTCTAACTCATTATTCAATAATTTTGATTAAAGAGTAACTGAGGGATTGCTACCGTGTTCTCAGGAGTATTTGGAAAAAAAAATTTGATTTTTTCTGCTAAAAATGTCAAGCATGGAAAAATTGAACTGCGAGCGAAAACGAAAAAAGTGCCAGATTTAGAAAAAATTAGAATTGCTATAACTGAAACTTTTTATCGTGTCCCCTGATTTTTTTAGTTAAAACTGAACTTAAAACATGTTCGATTTCAATCGAAGGGTCCATTGAAGATCTTGCAAGATAACCCTCCTTGATTGACTAGCGGGGCATCTGATTATAATTTATGCCCTCCATTTTGTAAAATGCTTTCTTTTGTCAACTTCCAGGCGCTCACAGCTGTTTAAAAGACGCTGGCGCACCGGTTTATCAATTCGGCTGTGCTGATTCGGAGGACGGTTTCCAGTACCCGACCCCCAAATGTCTATATGGAATGGTGAAGTCTGTGAAAAGCTTTGAAATCGACTCACAGGGCGACTATTTGGGATGCAAAGGACCAGAGACGTTCACGAACTTGACTCACTATTTTCCTGAGATCCAACGGATTATTGACAATTATCGATTTTGAACTCTAAGACAGAGTGTGAGCTACTTATATTAAAGTAATAATTACTATTTACTTTTAGAAAAAAAAATTTTCTCCGGCTCATTCACAAAATTTTGGAAAGAAAATGTTTGAAAGTTTTTGAGGCAGTTATTTTCAAAAACTCAAAATTTCAATTCTAAGTTTTGAAAATTACAACTTTCGAGAAACCACATTTTTATTTTTTTGATTAGTTCGGTTGACCAGAAGCGGATTTGGGGAGGGGTGGGGCGTTCTTTTTTAGGGACTAGACACCCTGACCACCCAAAGGTTCCCCCTTTGGTACTATTTTGCGACATCCATTTTTGACCAACCGACCTTGAAAGTTTTTTAAGGCCCGAGATTGGCCCATTTTGGTACTATTTTACGACATCTATTCTTGACCGACCAGAGTGAAAATTTTAGCCAATATACTCAAAATTTAAGGGGGGAAGCGCGCCAAAAAAACACATTTTTTGATCAAATCTTCAAAAAAATGTAAAAATAAGTTTTTCTGAAAAAGATTTGCCTATGACACACAAATTTTGACCAGTATAGGGTCCTTATCTTGAATTAAAAGAGCTTTGAAGATCAATTTGGTTGAGCTAAGAAAGTTGAATTTTTTTTTTAAATTGAAAATCAGTCCACTCTCCTGAGAAAATCTTAGATCCACCCCCTTCGGGTAACTGATTAGTTTGGCTAACTAGGCGATGGCATTTGAGTTCACTTATTTGAAAGTTTGAAAGTCTGATTTCTTTTTTTAGAAATGAACAATTTTCACCAATTTATATAAACGGGGCTAGAGAACTTCCCTTGAATTGACTGTGATAACGATCAAAACTACGTTGAAACTGTCCCAAGTTACGAAAAAGAGTACACTCAAAAGAAGCAAATCACACTGTTATCATCTTTTTTATTGCTGGACGATTTTAGGTGAAAACCATCAAGACAAAACTTGCTTTGAGTTTCAGCAGAACTAATATGGTTCTCTTTTTTTTTAGGAAAATGGAGCCCAAAGTTTCACCACAAAAACGGATTATTTTCGGCTTTTTTTACATCAAAAATTACACCAAACTTACACCGATCACTGGCATAAATAAATCAAAGTTACCCTCTTACGTAGCTCAGCAAACTCTTAGCGGACTATAATCTGTAAAACGTTGTATAAACTAATTGTTTTGTTTAATAGTCAAAAAATTTCGTTTTTACTAATAAAATACCAATTTTATAACTAAAACATTTTTTAAACATTATGCGCAAGTTTTTATTAAAGATCATGCCATTCTGAAAGCTTGTGGGGCTACGTGAGAGGCTCGTTTTGAAATGCTTATGTCAGTGATCGGCTAAGTAGCTTTGGTGTATTTTTTTTTTACTATAAAGTTTCAAAATGATCTATCTGTTTTTGCAAAATTTTGGGCCCGAACTTCGCAAAACAAAGACTGTCATGTTAATTCTGCTGAGCTTCTTAGCAAGTTTTCATCGTTCATCGTTTTTTTTTTACCTATGGTCAACACAATTTCAGAAAAATGCAATTTAAACTTCAAGTTTATTGCGTTTTTTCCGGATTATTAAATCAGCACTGTTTCCTTAGCCGAAAAAAGGAAGATGATTGATTCTATCAGCACGAAATCTATAAATTTCTTGAAACAGCAAGAACTTGCAACGCAAGCAATAAAAATAAGTACTGAACAAGATCGCTCCTATCAAAACGAAGGGCTCAATTTTTCTGATGCCTATTATGGTCCATGGAGAGGTGTTCGCTTTGAATGGTTGAAAATCACACACTTTGTCTGATACAGCAGAATGCAAATGCTAAAATTGACAAAACAGCATATTTACGACGGATTATATCAACATTTTTTTATAACAAGACAATTTTTTTAAAAACATTTATTGGCTTGAGAATACCAATATAACAAATGGATTTGACATACAATTTAGAACAATTTTTAAGGCTTGTCCCCGGATTCCAAACAGTGCGCGTATACAAAACATATCTAAACATCTTATAGTATGATTGTTTTTTTTTCAAAAACAAAAGTGTAAGTATGCTTAAAGTGGACCTTGCTTGAAGGTAATAATTTAAATAAATGTTTCTACAAGCCAGGAATTATCAATTTTGAAATTGCTTGAGTGCTCAATTGAATGAAAAAGTTGAGATCAAACTGAGATCACTTGATTCGCAAAATTCATTCTTAAAATAGATTAATTTAGGTGATTGGTTTTGATCAATGATCGGGTTGGCAAAAAGACTTGTCATACAACTTTAGTCTATGAAAAATGCTTGTCATACAACTCCATATCATTCAATAGAAGAAAAATTAAAGTAGAATTAGAATGTCTAGCCGCTTTTGTTTATGAAATTGTTTGATTAACTTTTTTTTGAATGGATTTAGTTTAATGAAACTTTTGCCAGAAACAAAATTAAACATTTTTTGTTTCTTGCTTAATAATTATATGTTTTGCCTGGAAATAAAAAAAGTTTTATCAATTGAGAAAATCAATTGATTAAACAGCATAAAGTTGCCTGAAAACTGAGATATGCTAAGTAAGTTAAACCGTTGGACTAAACTGCTACAAAACGTGTTATATCAAACAACGACAACTTTGCATATGGCTAGAATGGCTTTATCTCAGCAAAATCAATGATTTTAAAAGATGGTCTGTTTTTGGACAGACTTAATTTTTCTGGAAAAGTGGATTTCAAACATAGGACTTGGAAGCTTGTTCGAACATAGAATTGATTAACCGAGTTACCTAAAAATTAAATTTTTTCTCTGTAATTGAAAATTTGAAAAAAACATATTTGCCAAACAGTTTTAAAAAATGCAAATAGTTTCATGTGTTTCACATAACAAAAAATAGTTACACAAAAAAGTTTCATATAACAAAAAATTATAGTTATAGTTCATTTCAGTACAATTGGCAAGAAAATTAATTTCGTTGCGCAAAACAAAAATGAAAGTTTTCTGCAAAATTGTTTTTGCGGAAAATCTTTTTCATTCTTGAAAATTGTATGACAAACTTTTTTCGTAAACTGTAACAATGGACTTTTATGATAGTTATTTTGTTTAGTATGGAAGCCAAACAGGCTATGTAACGACTAAGCCTGCGAATTGTTTCACGATTTTTACTTTCCTAGCTTATCAATCTTTTGTGTGCTGAAACACCGTAACATACAGAAGTACGAAAAATATTCTTTCATTACCCACAAGATTTTCAAAGTGGTTTTGAAAGCTTTCAAAAAATCCCATCAAGAATAAGGAAAGTTTGGAATTTAAAAGTCTTTAAAATGTTTTGAAGGCAAAAAATTTGTGCCGTTGTAACATCCGAAACTGAACAATTTTCCAATTTTCCTTTGAATTGAAAAAGTCTCCCGACCGAGGCAACTAGAGGAAATTTCCAGCACCCCATGTAAACGTTCCAAAAACTGGTATCTAATGGCAAATCTTTCTTCTGTGTTCTGTCTATTCAAGGAAAAAAACTGTTTCACTCAATGTTTTTTAAATTTTTTTTTTAAACTTTTCAATTTTCTAGAAGTGGTAGAAAGTTTCTAGAATTGTGTTTGAACGCGTAGACTAAAATTTTGATTAAGATATCGTACATAGTATACAATTAACCAAATCTTTTTTTACATCAAATGAAATTTATGACAAGCATTTTTTCGTAGCGAAGAAAAACTAATTTTAAAAACCTATGGTTTCGTTTCTTTTCGTTCCGGAATATTTGTGCAGGGCTAGTTTTTTCATCAGACAAATCTCCACTTTTTAACAAGCGTTTTTGCATCAATTTTTTTACATCATTTGGCAACTTTTTTACATTATTCAAAAAAAGGTTGTCCTGAGCTTAAATTTGAAAAAATATTTTAAGTGTGATCATTTTTCGTAAAATTTTGGGAGTTTTAAAGTTTGTTTTTTGGCCAAATATAATTCGCGCTTTTAACGCGTAAGCGGAGATTTAATTCATCTTTAAAATCATTCCAAGTTGGTTGAAGGAAGCTTATTTGCCATAATTGATTTGTTACTAGGAGCTAAATCCTCCCTTTGTACTTTTTATGGCGTTTTCACAAAAATCTCAGTTGAAGAAAAAACAATTTTTCGTTTTATTCTATTTCATTTGATTTTTTCAAGATATTACTGCTCAATAGACTTGTAAAGGAAGTCGGAACATTCAGCTCTTCGCCTTGATACGAACAGTCTTGTTGATATATAATTTTCAGCATGTTAATTTGCAAACTTCTCCTAAGGTTAATTATATACTGCGATGGTTTTTCTTCTGAAAATTTTTACTAACTGAATTCAGATTAATAACCAGACTGCTGGTATCAGGGCCAAGCCGAGTCACTGAGAAGCATGAAAAGCGTAATAGCCTAATAGATTGAAATAAACACGTCAAACCTACAAGTCCGTTTTAAAAGCGTTTATAAAAATAAATTACGAGAAAAGTAAGTATAATTCCTTTTTTTAATTTGTCTTTTTCATGGCCTGATAACCAAAACAATTCAGTGAAATTCACCATAACTTTTTAATTTATATGGGAATACAGTTTGTCGAACAAAATGGACAAGGCTGAAATATTTTCATGTTTAAAATTGACGAAACGTTACTCTGTCGCAACTTTCCGTCCAAAACCATTTAATATTGTACAATCGTTTTTTAAATTTACTTTTGTAGAAGAAAAAAAACGGCGTAATAAATATTTACCCTGATTTTTCCATTGAGTTCTTTTAAAAACTGCGTTGTAAGTAAATACTCTGGCTTTTCGAATGGACCTCTTTTTATCGACGAAGACTAAGTTTCGTAACCGGTAATTAAAAGGAACAAGACTGTTCGTATCAGGGCGAAGCCCTGATTGCCCTGATTGCTTTTCAAGGTCTATAGAGCAGTAGTAACATAAAAGGTAAAGGTAAAGGTAACAAAGTAAAACAAAACATTTTTTAATTGATGTTTTTTTCGGTGAAAAAAAAATTCCCCCACACATCATATAAAATACAAAGTGATAAATTT